AGATCAAATGGCTCAACTGTTTGCTACATCCACGTCACAGGTTGTCACATGACATTGCAGCAATTTCCATCAGGAGGTAGAAGCAAAATCTGCAGTCATCTGTTATGTTTGTAGGAGACTCTCACCACATAGTTGCGCAGGATTTTGCACATGTGAAGTGTTTGTTGCCCCAGGAAATAGATTTCTGGCTAATAATATAAATAAGGTAAATGGCACTCTGGTGGGTTTTGTAGCTTTGTACCATCAAGTCGAGTATGACTCATTGTTACTCTGTAAACAAAAGACCCGAACCATGTCCTTCCTGTTCTGTGCCATCCTCACAATCCCTGACGTACTGGAGCCCATTCTGCAGTCACTGTGTCAGCAACTTCTTCTTACTTGGATCCCAGTCAACACTCTTGGTACCAACAGTCAGGAGATCAGAAGAGTTTTGCACTGGGAAAGTTTGAAGTCAGGGGCCTCTCCAAAATACTGAGGAGTAATGATGTCAGTTTGAGGACTAAGGGGAACCTGATTCAGACCATGCTCTTTTCAGTCACTTGTTATGCCTCAGAGAGCTGCACAGTGAGTAAGGATGAATGAAAAAGTGATGCCTTTGAGCTCTGGTGTTAGAAAAGAGTACTGAATATTCCATGGACTGAAAAAGAACAAACAAATAGGTCTTAGAGAGTGCTTCTTGGAGGCAAACGTGATAAAGCTTCGTCTGACATACTTTGGGCATGTTACTAGGAGATGCTGTTCCTTGGAGGACATCATGCTTGGAAAGGTAGCAAGTTGGTGAAAGGGATGAAGAACCTCAACCAGATGGACTGACACTGGTGGGACTGGACCATGGAAAGAAGATATATGGGACTATAGCATAGGAATGGGTCGGTGTTGACATTCTGATAGACTTAAAATGAGCTATCTCAGGGGTGCAGAGGGTGAAGGGCAGAAATCTCACTGCCATCAAAAAAGAAGAGCCTTTGGACCTCAGATCTATACACGGAAACTTCTCCATCCAGGAGACAGGGCTATAACACTGGAGATACAGTGGGGAGCAGCAGAGAAACAGCAAAATGGTGACAGCAGAGCCAATAAAGAAAGAAGACCAGGGTGAGCCAGAGCTTCAGGGCCCATGGGGCAAGAAGCTGAGTGCCTCAGGGCCAAGAGGCTTACCAGCAGAATGAATGCCTGTGGGTATTTCTTGGGGAGCTAGTTTTGCAAATCCATGAAGCTAGAGCCAAGTACTTTGGACCTAGGCTTGCTTGACAGAATAAGATACTTTGGGAGACATTCATATTGGCAGAGCTAACAGGGCTTTGAAACACTTGCCTAAATAGGATGGAGGCAAAGTTCATGAAACGGAGGGACAGAGGTCTGTCTGTGGGCACAGCTGAGGAGACAGGCTGTCTGTCCTGAGTGAAGAGCTGTCTCCTGAGAGTTCCTGGTCGTGAATTGTGATGTGTTAACCTCTCTAATAAACCCCAGAGTCCTGAGTATTGCCTGTGTGTTTATTTATTGCAATGAATTACAGGACCCACAAAGCAGTGGCGTGTGTTGTGGGAAGCATGATTGGTATAAGAATTGTTTGAAAAAGTTCCAGGATCGAGACGTATCTGACCTCAAAAAAAAAAAAAGTCTGGAGCTATTGGCAATGGGAATTTTTCTTCCACTTTATAAAGTTAGAGGAGATCGGGCAACATGACTTCCTTTACACTGTTTTTACAGACTTAATAACAGTCCTCGTGCCATTAACAACCCAAGCCAGTAATGTCTGGTCATCAAGCTCTCTCATTAAACAAAAACATCAGCCAAGTTACAGGAGACTCCCTGGCTTCTGTTAGCATTTAACTCTCAGTTTAGACCTCATTCTAACAGCTTCATTTTCTGCAACATCAAGTCAGTGAGGTGACCCCTGAGTTTCCATGGAAGAAAGTTGGAACACAAGAGCAGCTTCAGCACTTAGCTGTCTCTCCAGTTCATCCTCCCTGGAAGGGAGCTTCCCCTTCTCCTCTCCCCATCTGATGTGAGGGAAGTAAGCATTGTTGCCAGTTTATTATTCCCAGGAGGGCCAGCACCTTCTTAGAATGACTAAATGGATGGACTCTTGTGTTTCAACCATGCCATTGTGTCCTCCTATCAAGCCAGTTGCTCCTTCAGTTCCACCAGCTCCCAAACCTCTGTGCTTATCCACATTGCCAGCCCAGTCAGATAAGCAGGAAGGCTCCTGACATCCTATTTACCACATGGCTGACCCCTTAGTGAAGGAAAGCCTGAGATCTTCCATCTCCAAGCTAGATCTTCCACGTGGTTCAATAGTACTGGCACTACTTCCTGGTCTAAAACAAAATACTATGAAATTTATTTAGTGTAGGTTTTCCCCCACTTTTGCTAGAAGCACTGCACCGTGATGAGTGGAATAAATCATAGAGCAAGGTTCTTTGCATCAGATCAAATAACCACACTATCCATGGATGCAGTCATAGACCTTGATTACTTACAATAATAATTATGGCTATAAATGGAGTTCCTCTGGTACTCTCAGCTTTAAGCCAAGATCTATCTAACATTAAGAATAATGTCCCTAGTGCCACAGCCTCTGCTAAATCCAGCCTCCACATCTGACAGTTCTCTGTTGATGTGCTGTCCAGTTGGTTTTGGATCATTTTTCAGCAGGATCTTACTTGCATGTGGTATTAATAATATTGTTCTATAATTTTCGTAATTTGTTAGGTCACGTTTTATTGGCATGCTAGGAACATCAAAGCCAATGTTAAGTGGATGTTAGCTAAAAGCAGAGAATACCAGAAGAGCATCTATCTGTGTTTCATTGACTATGCAAAGACATTTGACTATGGATCACAGCAAACTATGGCTGACTTTGAGAAGAATGGGAATTCCAGAACTCTTTGAATATGCTTATATGAAACCTATACTTGGACAAGGAGGCAGTCATCAGAACAGAGCAAGGAAACACTGAATGGTTCAAAAATCAGGAAAGGTTTATGCCCAGGATACAGCCTATCTCCATACCTTTTCAATCTATATACAGAACAGATCATCCAGGAGGCTGGGCTCTCTGAGGAGGAATGTGGCATCAGTGTTGAAGGAAGGCTTACCAACAACTTGCATTATGCAGATGAAACTGAGGAGAACCTGAGACATTTGCTGCAGAAGGTCAAGGATTACAGCCTTCAATATGGGTTGAAGCTTAACATCAAGAAAAAGATTCTCACCACTGGGCCAATTGGCAACATCATGATAAGCAGAGAAGACACTGAGATCATTAACAGCTTCGGCTTACTTGGCTCAACAGTCAACGCTCTTGGTACCAGCAGCCAGGAAGTAAAAAAAATGAATTGCATTGGGAGAGTCTGCTGTCAGGGATTTCTCCAGAGTACTGAAGAGGAACGGTGTCAGTCTGGACACTAAGGTATGCCTCATCCAGGCCATGGTCTTCACAATTACTTGCTATACATCAAAAAGCTGGACAATGAATAGGATGATAGAAGAAGAATCGATGCCTTTGACTTGTGATGCTGGAGAAGAGTATTGAACATACCATGGACTGTTAAAAAAATAAACAGGCAGGTGGGGAGGGTTGGGAAAGAAGAAAAATGTAACAGTGAATGAATGTAAATAAAAAAAAAAAAAACACAGGTCTGTCCTGGAGAGGGTGAAACCAGGCTGCTCTTTGGAGGCAAAGATTCTGAAGCTCTGACATACTTTGGGCATATTGCAAGGAGGGACCAGTCCTTGAAGAAGGACATTATGCTTGGAAGAATGAAGGAACAGCACAAGAGAGGAAGACCCTGGATGAGATAATTTGACTCAGTGACTGAGGTAATAGGTTAGGTGTGTCAGAGACAATGAAATTGGCTCAAGAAAGAACAGGGTTCAGAGCTGTTGTGTATCGGGTCACTATGGGTTACAAGCAACTCAATGGCAAATAACAGTAACAACCATAAATGCAGTAGGGCTTTTCCAAAAGGCTTCTACCCAAAGTGAAATGTTTTTGATAATGTTGTTGTTAGGTGCCATCAAGTTGAGTAAAACTCATAGCTAACCTGTGAACAGTCAACCTGAACCCTACCCTATCCTGTGCCATCTTCATCATCTCTGACATGCTAGAGCCCATGGTTGAAGTCACCGTGTCAGTTTATGTCCTTAGGGGTCTCCCCCCCCCCTTTGCTGACCCTCTATTTTTCCAACCATGATGTCCCTTTCCAAGGAATAGCCTAGCCGAGCTACAAGTCCGAAGTATGAAAGATGAAGCTTTGCCATCTTGCCTCCAAGGAGCATGCTGGCTGCTCTTTTCCCAAGACAGCTGAGTTCTTCGGCAGTCCACAGGATACTCAGTACTCTTCTTCAGCCCTGCAACTCAAAGGCCTCCATTCTTCCATCATCCTTATTCATTGTCCAGCTCTCTGATGCCTAGTAGGTGATTGAGTAGACCACGGCCTGAATCAGGCACAACTCAGTCTTCAAACTGGCATCATTGTTCCTCAGCATTGCACACTTATAAATACTCCATGGCAAAAGGGGGGGGGGTTTGTTGCCAGACCTGGGGCTGATAGTATGAACCTGAGGAGTGTACATATGGGATTGTGTGCAAAAGGCAGAAGAGGAAAGAGAAGTGGCCTTTGTTCAGACGCATCTGGCCTGGTCATTGTTTTATTCATACCCAAAAAGAACATTTCTCCTTTTCTTGTTTTAAGATTAATTTCATTTCATTAAGTAGTTATAGGTCGTCATGGAGACCAAGTTACAGTAAGTTCAAAACAAGGAGAAAGTTTGCTGTAACAAGGAGAAAGTGGGAGACAGAGTGAGGCCCACTCCCTAGTCTCCTTGTCAAAGGATACACCAAGGCCAGGGTCTCAGCCTAGGTATCTTCCAGGGCACTGTGATGGCAGACTTTCAGAGACTTGTGTCCTGTAAATGAGACTTTGTGTATTCTACCCCTCGCCGAGGAAGAATTCCTCCATCCTGAGTGTTGTGTGGCATTTCTACCCCATCAGGTCCCCATCCCAGTCACTCCCAGCTTGGACCCCCTGAGGATGCTGACGGATGAGGCCGACGTGGCTACCTGGCAGAACGAGGGCCTCCCCGCTGACCGCATGTCCATGGAGAACGCCACCGTCCTGATCAATTGTGAGCGCTGGCCACTCATGGTCGATCCTCAGCTGCAAGGGATCAAGTGGATCAAGAACAAATACGGGGAAGCCCTCCGGGTCACTCAAATAGGTCAGAAAGGGTAGGTGATTGACTCCAAAAGCTCCTACTTTTGCCACTTACCCAAAGGAAGACTCCTGTGGTCCATGCAAAGCCCTGTGGATTATTTCCACCCTGCTGGTACCTCAGTTAGGGAGCTGTGGTGGTACAGTGCATGATGTGTTGGGCTACGGATGTGAAGGCCAGAAGGGGGCTCTGGTGGCCTAGTGGGTGAGGAGCTGGGCTGCCAACACAAAGACAGATGCTTTGAATGCACCATCTGCTCCAGAAGAGAAAGGTGGGCCATCTCTTCACATATGGTTTACAACCTCTGGAAATCCCCTGGTGGGGCAGCCAGTAATTTGAGTCTACCAGCTATTCCATGGAAGACAAACAGGCCGTCTTTCATAAAGATTTACAACCTTGCAAAGTCAGCAGAGGGTCGCTCCAAGTCTTAGCTTAAAAGCGGTAGGTTTATAGTGAGGCTTCACATTTTTTCCTCTTCCATTTTAGGAAGCATCTTTACAGGGCTGTGGGGTAGTAAATCTTTGGTTTTCGTTCTTATTAGAAATCATAGGCTTTAGCTTCTCCATCTTTAGGATCTCTGCCATCCCCATATTCATCCTTCCACGGCTTTGTGAGCCATTCCTGCCTCCCCAGACTTCACTGGGCCATTGATGAATAGTTCTGTGTTTTGTTGGGGTTTCCCCTCCACCCACCTCTGTGTTTTTGACAGTCTTCCTTACCGTTGACCAAAAGCAATCTACCTTCACTTTCTTCTACCCTCTCTTCCTGCTACTGTTTCTGGAACCACATAGAACGAATACAGACTTCCTCTTCTCTGGGGACCATCCTGTGTATCCGCAGTGAATTACGTGGCAGCTGAGTTAGTTGCCAGACCTTTGCCATCCTTTTATCCTTCAAGTCTTACTGCCTTCTTCAAAGTTACAACCTCAGCTCCTGCTTTGCTCCATCCTCTACAGAACCTGCTTTCTCTAAGCTGTAGATAGAACTCCCTTTCTGAAAAACGTGCATATCTTGGGCTCATTTGTCACAGCTGTTAATCTCACGATGCTGGAACATAAGCTCCTAAAAAGCAAGCTTTGGCCTTTTTGTTCACTACTTTATCCGTGATACTTAAAACAGTCAAAATTGCTGTTGAGTTGGAAGCGATGCAAAGCTGGCCCTCCAGTGGGTTTTCAGGAGACTGTAAATCTCCCAGGAGAATATTGTCCATTTTTTTGCTGCAGAGATGGAACCACAGGAGAGGCGCTGCCTTTGGGTGAGCAGCACACCTCCCTGCGGGCTGCACCAGCAGAGCGCTGTAAAACACACAGTCGGCCCTCCATCTGAATTTGCTGCATTGCTTCTCGGCCCACTTTCATTGTCTACCTTTCCTTGAAGGGACGACTTGATTGTGTTGTATGTTAGTTGGGTATTTGTATTATATCACAATATAATAATATGAATGGAAAGTCAAATACTCCGTCTGCCTTTTTTATTTGCAATATACTACAGGAATTATTTTTTTTTTTTAAACTTGATCAAATTGGTCATCCCTCTCTTCCATATATTGTGCTTTTACTTGCATGTTTAGAAAAGTCTCCCCCTGGTGGTGGTGTTGTATACCATAGAGTCAGAACCGACCCTCCAATGGGTTTTCAGAGGCAGTTAATCCCATGGGAAGAGATTGCCCACCCTTCCCCCACAAAGCAGTTGATGGCCTCAAACCGTGTGCCTTTGGGATGGCAGTGCAACTTCTTGCCACTAGGCCACCAGAGTGCCCTAGAAATCATATAAATATTCTCCTACATTTCTTAAGTGTTCTTTATCGTTTTCTTGAAGCCAAATCACCTGGAATATACGTTAGGGTATGGAGTAAGGTCTTATGGTATTAGTTCTATAGACCTAATTTTCATTTTCTAAGTGCTTAACCACTTCACAGCTCCAGTACTATTTATTGCTTTCTCCATCCTTCCCAAGGTTAGTTAAAGTGTGATCTAGGCATTCAACTGTATCTTTAACTTCTTTGTGGAAGTTTACAGAGCTTACTGGTAGTCTATTCAACTCATACACCTTTTTTTTAATGGCATTGAGCACAAAGCCCATGTTGCAACAGCACTCTGTCCACTTCCTCCCTGTGGTTCTTGTTTCCACTTCGCCATTTATCCTCAACCCCTTGCCTTCTGAGCCTACTTCCTGGCCCAAAGCTGCACTTTGGATCTTACATGGCCTGTGGTCCTGAAGAGCAAGGATCTCTCTGGGTAACGGTCCACATTTGAGGCTTGTCTGCGGTTTGACTGAATGTTGTGGTACGAGCGTGAGTTCAAAGGACACTAAGGACCACAGACGCCAGGGTTTCACCAGTCTCAGACCAGGAAACCTAGCCATTTTTATGATGCAATGTGGGAATTAGAAACAGTGTCATAAAACAATTTATGTTAAAAAAAAAACCCACACAATTAATTTATGTCTACATGATTGAATAGAATGCCAATCTGCTCCATAAACTTTAAGTCAAATCATAATTAAGAAATCACATGCATCATATGAATCTAGTAATAAAATGAAATACGAAAGCATGAAATATCCAGCTACAGTTAGTTAAATACCAAGAGGTTGATGACAGATGGTAGATTTGTGATTAAGTTTCCTTTTTGTATTTTCCCCCATGTGTATAAAATCACATAAATGCCCTTTTCAGTAGAGAAAAGTGTAACCACCTGAGTTACCCCAAACAGCTGTGCCTTGGCATTAACTAGTTGTCTCATTGTATGGCCACTGAGTTCATGTCTTGCCACAAGCTCATTGTGCCTGACTTTCTCACCAGTTACCTGCAGACCATAGAGCATGCCCTGGAAGCTGGAGACATGGTGCTGATTGAAAACCTGGAAGAGTCCATTGATCCTGTCCTGGGACCCCTGCTGGGGCGTGAAGTCATTAAGAAAGGACGGTGAGCTGCTGCCCCCTGAGGGGCTGGTTCGAGCCTCCCCCCCCCC